TGTTAACGTGCTTCAAGGACACTGCATATTTGTACAAGCCTTGAGTAAAGAGTACAGCAGCAAAACAGTCTGAAATATTAACATACTGTCTCTAATGTCAAAGTTAATTTAGTTGGCAGTGCATTATGCAAAGTCATTTTATTTTCCATCCCTAAACAGTCTTACCTCTCCCAAGGTGAGAACAACGTGTGCAATAAACAATTACAAAGGCATCTCACAACACTGCACTCCAAATGGCAAGCAGTATTTATTGCTATGATGAGCAAGGATGCATATTTGTGGTCCAGCCTTTTGCTTTATAGTTTGCTCGACTTCAAATGAACTTGACGCGTTGCCACTGCTGAAGTTTCCTCTCATGAAGAACGCTTGTGACTTTCTGAACTCAGGGAAATCAACCGGAGCTCCTAAGTGTGAATAAAGGCATTGTGGAGGAGCGAAAGGGCAAATCGGCTTGGCTGGAAGCTGAAATGAGTCTGCGCTCGTTGCCAAGCAGCTGGGGGTGTCTGAGGCTGATACCTTCGCTGGTTAGCGCTGGATCCTCGAAGGATTTTTAAAGATTAAGAGGAGCTTGTGCTAGCCTAAACGTCTCTCCAACTGAACCACACACAGACATAAGATACTGTGCATGCATGCCAAACGTTCAGCACTCTTTCAGCAGCCTGGCCCAGGGGAGCAGAGAGCTGTGATAGATAAGATTGAGCTAAATGGTATAAAATAGAGGAGCTCTCTTCATACAAGCATCAAGTACAGCTACTTAACACCCGTCTAGGCAATTGACAGAAAAGACTGAACCCTGTCTGTTACATCTGTAATTACTTTTATGTAACGACTTTAAGCAATTAACGTTCAACCTTTCAAGCCATCTTCCAGTCACTGAAGGCAATTACTGTTGCCTTTTTTTTTGAATCTTAATAAAAGTTTCAGAATTTTACATAAAAATATGGTCACATTTGGAGCACAACCGTCTAATCACTAGCCCTATCATCAGGTCATGAGTTCAATCCCTGGTGATGCCACAGCCGTCCGAGGCCAGGAGTCAAACACAGCATAACTACGCCCCCCTATTACTTAGTTAGTCAATGCTAGCCAATCAAGTTCATCCTCACATCATCCATAACCATCTGGTTTGGTTCCTCCACCTCACAACAACAAGCCCGAACACATAATCAGGACAGAGGAGAAGATCAAATATAATCTACCAATTCTTCAGTACATCCACAACTGAGGGACTCCTCTGATCCTTCTTATCCTGGACATCACCTATTCCAGCCACTACCTTACGGTAGAAGATTCAGGGTCATCAAATCCGGCACTGCTAGACATGCTAACAGCTTTTTCCCCAGAGCTGTAGTGCTCATTAAGTGCAGTTTACACTTTAAACTATACTGAACCTAGCAAAGCTCCCTTTCTGTATGGTGCAACTGTATAAATCCTCTGTGCAATAATGCTTGGTTTGTACAACTGTACAAATATTCATTGTTACCAAAGCTTATATCATCCTGTCATTTACTGTAAATAATAGTTATTATGCATACATTTACATATTAACATACTCATCTCTTTTAGCTCATTTGACATTAGCAATTCTTTATCTATTGTCTTATTTTTATTCTATTTATTCTAATATCTAGCATGGTAGTAGGTAGTGTGCAGTAGGTTTGGAAAAGTTGTCCCCAAATGTGACCCTGCAAGACAACATTATATTGCCAAAATTATGTAAACATCCCTCCTAATTAATGAATTCAGGTAATTCAGCCACATGCATTGCTATCAGGTATATAAAATCAAGCACATAGTCATGCAATCTCCATAGGCAAACACTGGTGATAGAATGGACGGTACTGAAGAGCTCAGTGACTTTAAACGTGACACTGTCACTGGATGCCACCTTTGCATGTCAGTAAGTTTGTGAAATTTCTGCCCTGCTAGATCTGCCCTGGTCATCCGTAAGTGCTCTTATTGTGAAATGGAGCAACAACAGCTCAGCCACAAAGCAGTAGTGCCGCCTGTCCTCTGTTGCATCATTCAATACAATTCAAACTGCCTCTGGAAGAGGCATCAGCACATGCTCCATCCCTACAAGCACTTCAGAATTTAATTGAAATAATAAGACCTTTCTATGAATAACCATTCATTTACGTCACATGATATCCACTCCTTTTTCTTTTTTAAAAAAAACAACATGTCAATTCGAAGGCAATTCTGATTCTCCAGCTTTAGGTTTCACAGGAAAACCACACAACGTCTATCTTCATACCCCTGCTTATGCTATTGGTGAAGGAATCTGACTAAGCATAATACAATACAACCTATCATTGCTCACCCAAAGCTGTGCGGATGGTGAGTATGTCATCTGGAGTGTTATCAAAACAGCCGTGGAGAAACTGGTTTTGCCAACATGCCAGCAGAACATGCCAGCAGCCTGTCATTTCTGCATGCTCCTCTTGTGTACACACTTTGGCTGATGGCTCCTGGATATCCTTCCACATGCTCCATATGCTGGGGTAATTTCCATCTCAACACATAATCCTATGCATCCCTCAGCAATGCACATGAGGTTAGCTCTGTGCCAGCGAAGATTGGCAGCAAGGAGCACAGGGTCCCTAGGTTAGGAGGGATGAAGCTCGGGGAATGAAATGGGTAAATGTGCTCATGTTAGTTCAGCTGCATGCATTACTCAAAGATAACTCTCATTCTAATTGTTGTATTAATCTCCATGGTTATGTGTATGTTTTATGAGTATTGGGATTTTTAGATGCTGAGCATGGACGACATGGCGCAATCATTGAACACACTGAAGTTATGGACAACAATTTAAGAAACATCAAGACATAAAGGGCTAAAATTCAAATAACTACCTGTTACTATGCGGTTTAGGCATGTTTTAAGTTTGTTTTGTTGTTTATGAATATTTTTGTGAATGTTTTTATTCAATGTCTGCAAAAATGAACTAAGAAGCAAGAAGTAAACCCAATGATGAACCTATGAACCAATGACGATCCCACTTGTATAAATGTGCATGGTGACATAATTTATCGTAATAACTATAAAATATCATATCACCCGCTCCTAATGGCTGCCATGACTCTGTATCTGTATGATCATAGATACATCAGCACATATACTCTAATCTGTCTTTATATTTAAATGAAAGTGATGAAAGCAATAAAAGATCAGAATTAATGTGCTCTTCATATAATTAGCCTTTGGATAACTACCCACTGACTACCATTTAACAGCTAATGCTAACCATACACTAGAAGACTTTGAAAAGAATTTTGAAAGACTAAAGTCTGACACCCTCTCACATCTAAAGACAGCGTCGCGTTGTTTAGTCAGAGACTATGATTTTGCAAAGACTAGGAATCTTGCAGTGTCACTATTTACAAGACTGCAACTAGATTTTTGAGATTATTCCCCATCATGCACCTGGTGGAAATTTACAAGCAGATAAACACTTTTCCTTCCACTCTATAGTGGTACAGATGGGAGGATACGTTGGCTGGGCATGTAAAGATCTGGGACTCAGATTAGTTCACTATAGAACTGTATACTGCAGATCATCACCCAGAATCTTTTAATTAACCTGTAAAATGTGCAATTACTTTTTTAATTTGACATAAAGATTTACACATCAACACAACATGCAGCGATTCAGCATTCAGCATTGTCGATTGGGTGTCATGAACTAAACCATAAGAAACAAACAAACAAAATAAGAAGTCAGTGTAGAAAACAAAAAAATAGAAAAAAATTGATGATTCTTTAATAATGGCATTTTTAAAGTCCTCTGCACATTTCCTTACGTGTTACAGGCTCAGTGGACCTGAAATATTAAAACAGTCAGTTTACATTTTAAGTTAATATGATTATTGTATCGAATTGCTTTTTTACAGAGATTTCAGGCCGTCTCTCTCTCTCGCTCTCTCTCTCTCTCTCGCCTTGCATGAGCCAAGACTTAAAACTTACGATAATATTAAACACGGTTGATTTTGTCGCAGCATGAAGACGAGAAAAAGACTGACTTAAGACCGCCATCTTGACCACCTTATACCAAACGATCGACATGCCGCAACCGCAACGCGACACTAACAAGACTCTCGTGATTTTATTCCGACATGGATATTTGTCGGCGACAGTGAAATCGCTTGAAAAGTCGTTTGGTGTAAGGCCGACATAAATCGCTAAAAGGACCCAAAAGAATGATTATGTTTATTTTTCGCTCAGCAAGCTGGAAAATGCTGCTTGATTTTCAGTTCAGTGTCAGCTTTTATTTTACTATTTTACACAGGTGACCAAGCTTGGAACACACCGATCACACCCTTTTATAAAGCTTTGGCTTAATATCATTTCCACATGTATATATATCGTACATCAGCACAATTAGTGCCAAAATTATGTAAACTAAAAGATAAACGTGTACTGATTTCATGTAGTACTTATTTGAATCAGATGAATTCAATATATACTATGTTTTCAGTGCAAGTACATCAGTAGCTCTCAAAAAAGTAGCATAGTGGAAGTTGCAACTATAAACTACTTAGAGTTGGAGTTTTTAACTGTACTTGTTACTCTGTGTCTAACAAAATTAGACACAGAGTAACAATTCAGCATTATTAGAGTTTATATCACAAACTTCTCAGGTTTTCTAATTATGGTAATATGCAAGCTCTAACTATTCAGCATCATTAGAGTTTCTATCACAAACTACTTAGTTTCTAACTATGCTAATATGCTAGTTTTCTACCTTGTCAGCATTATTTGATTTTATTCCAAGCTACTTAGAGTTTCTATGCTAATATGCTAGTTCTCTAACTATTCAGCATTATTACAGTTTCTATCACCAAAAAACAAGCATGAAATCAATTCAGAGTGAGAGTTCAGTACTTAGTTTGTGGTAATGCCACCTAAACAATCATCTGACACCCAAAATAATAAAACTTTAGCACATGAATGAAGTTTTTAGATAGTTTCAGTAAGTTCAGTCTGGCCCCACTCACCCAGCCAACACAATGAAGAAGTCTAGCCGGTTCCAGGTGTCTCCAAGGTAACACTTCTTGCCAAAGATGCCCAGCGCCACCATCTTGATCACCATCTCCACAGCAAAAAAAGCAAAGATGAAGTCATCAAAGTCCTAAAAGGAGAAAAGCATTCAAAGTGTTAGCATTAAATTCTTCCCCTGCAGGATTAGCAAAACTGTTCTTGTTCAGATCAAAGTGCAGGAGACAGAGCCTCTGATTCACGCTAAATGTGCAATTTCACAAACAAATATGTGACTACATTAAGAACAGATAACCTCCCAGTGCCATATGGAGACCGAAGCTATATTCTCTGCTTTAACATTAACATTCACAGCATGGGGTTTGTTTGTGTGGGTGCGCGAGTGGATCTATAAGCTGACTCTGAGTGGCCCCAAACAGCCGACTCATGCTTTTTTTTTCCCCCTCTGCAAATCCTCAACCAGGCCCTTCTATGATGCCCTGAATAAGGGTTCAAAATGTTCTCTAGAGGAAATACCTTATTTATTTATTTATGATAAACACAAGTTTTCAAGAAACACAGTGAAAAAGATCTGCATGTAGGCACCAGGCAAATGATTAATTAATGCAAAGCCAACCAATTAAGTGAAAAAGTGAGTTCGTAGCAGGAATTATTAAGTTTACTTTGCATTCTCCGCTGGCATATTTGCTCGTGGTGCCAATTTGTTTTCCCTGCCTTTATTTTGTATTCCATATGAAGATGAAAGATGAAGTCGAGGCATAATTTTGACACAGTGTGGAGAAAAAAAACATCACTTTATTGTTCACAAAACACTTGTTTGTAATGATGTGAGAAGCACAGTACTGGACAGTAGCTGTGGAAACGCTAACTAGATTGGAGAGTTTTGCTGCAAAATGGATGAAAATAGGACTTTTTGGTTTTTCAAATAGAAAAAATAAGGGAGAAATTCATTGGTAGAGAAATGGTATGAATGCATCAGATTAGCATAGAACACTGAGTACCATTTGGAATCAATAAATGGGTGAATAAACTGATTTCAGAAAGGCTTTTATTATTTGCCCTCTATCAGACATGGGTTATGCCACTGAGCTGAAATGCCAGTATTCTGCAGCATGATGATCAACACAGAATACTCAGAGTTGAGTTTATTGTACAGTATTAATAATGAATAAACTCTGGATAAATGTACTTCAGAAATGAAAGAGTCTTCTAGTCTTCCAGCTGGTGCACAAGAAATGGGCGAAGGCACTGGGGCTAGTCTGGCCTCAGTGACCCCTTCCATTTCCTCAAGGGTAATTGTCATCACATGGGAAATGCACCTGGGTTTTCTGAGCCAGCTGGAGCATTAGTGATGACTCCTAAGCAAGGGAATCCCTCCAGCCAAGAGGCTTTCGCAATGCAGGGAATGATAATTAAGTTGCAGTGGATAAGCGCACTGTCAAGCTCCGCATCATTTCAATGCTAGCTCTAAACTGTTGGCCACTCTACCCACCTTCACTCACTGTGAACCGGAGCTTTTGTCATTTAGAGTTAATGCTCATGCACTGTTTTTTTTTTCAATAGGGAACATCGTCAAGGGGCAGATTCTGGCACAGTGCAGTGACAAGTCATTAAACATGAATGCTTTGAGACCACAATGCTTTTGAAGCAAATGAAAAGGCCATAAATTTTAAGTAATATTTTCATGTTTGGCTTGGGAACACCACTGCTGGTCACATGGCTGCCCACTTGGCTTGTCAGAGCATAATAAAGTATGAAACAGGGTACACATATGCACCAACCACTGTAGCAAAGAAAGGCATTTTCATTGCTCATGGACAACCATGAACCACCACACTCGTCTTCACATAGCATCCAATAATGCGCACATTCAAAGCAAATAACATCCACAGTTATAGGCACTGCTAATAACATTTTGCTGGTTTTTATTGGAGAGCTACCTGCTGCTCATTAAAATCAACCTGAAATCAAAACGGACCTATTTTAACCTTGTTTTTTTGTGTCCCTGGTCATAGTAGGCATGATTCATCATAACAACATTTAAAAGACAAAGTTCTTGTTTTCCCATTATCTTTTATCATAGTGTAGAGACTTCTTCTTCATCTGAGTGCTGATTACATCACTGTGCTCTAGCAGGTGGGAAAAATTATTTTGGTTAAAAGTCACAATCAGACTGAACATTCTGAATTTAGTTGTGTTGATATCTCGAAAACTGAAGTGTTATCAAACAAAAACATGGCAAAAAAATTAAGAAAACAATGCACAATTACAATAACATTATGTTTCACACTCTCCCTAACGTGCTCAGCTAGCTTAAGATCCTCCTTAATACAGCATCTTACTAAGAATGACTGCTACAGAGCTCTACAGAAAGTACTTAATTGGAAGTTACCAATAGTCCACCTTCTTTACAGCAATACAGGCCACACTAGTAAATATGAAACTTCATCATGGTTAAAATAACCAAAAATTGAATCTTAATTTGAATTCAAACCTAACCTTTTGCATAGTATGTTTACACAAAAATTAAGAAAAATACCATAATAAATCAAACAGTGGGCCTCATTCACTCATTAACTGTTCTTAAGAAGAAATTTCTTCTTAAAGCCCACTTATGCAGTTTTTATGAAGATTCTGACCTTCACCAATGTTTTCTTGTTTAGGATTTGTTCTTAGATAAGAACAGATTCTACACTCACTCAAGAGCACAAAGGTGCAAATAATTCTGCGCTTTAAGAACAGGTCATGAATCTGACATAAACTTTATCTTGGGATCTTTCTCAAGAACAAATTTAAGAAGAAACTTAGGAAGATATTGGTGAATGAATGCCCAATGAGAGTTAATGAAAAGAAACCAACAAAACCTCCTCAAATTCTGTGAAACTAATATTTTTATATTATTTAACCCCTAAATGGCCATGACCAGTCAAACATTTATTACACACTCCTATACCTTAAGAATAACACAGGTTAAACGGTATTCAATGTAGTTACTTAATAGTAAGAATGTAATAAGCCAGGATTTTAGGAATTTAGGACATTTCTTCTGTTTATCTGAATGTAAACATGACAAGTGAGAACTGACAATCATATTTGACAAATCAGTTTCATTATAGACCAAACAAAATTCTATTTGCCAATGTTATCAGTTAGCAGTTATCAGTTAACTCCTTAGAATCTGTACCAATGCCAAAATTTTACATCAGTTAAGCTCTACATATAATACAGGACATATAAGACAAGAAACTGTAATCTAACAGGACATGAAGCACATTCATTTTAACTTAATCACGGATCATTGACAGAGATTGTCAAACGCCTTCTTCAAAGGCATGCTCTCTAAGAACAACCTCACAGTCTTGTATGGTGTCTGGTCTGCTTAGCTGTCTGTACATGAGTGCATGTATGTCTCTGTGGACCCTCCATGGTTCAGCAGTTCTCTAAAGAAAAACAGTACAGACTGGGGGAAGCCCTCAACACAGCACACAGCCTGCCAGCGCGCCTTAATGATTCAGTATTCTCATATGCATTTCTCTCTATCGCTCTCTCTTTCACTCCTTGCATCTCTTCCTCTTTCATTTCCCTCCTGTCTTAGCCCACATTGTCTCAGCTATCTCTTTCAAAATTCCTCCCTCCTCCCTTTTTCTCCACCATCTCATCCACCCATTTCTATTAAAGACTTGTCATCCCTCTCTTTCATATCTTCAACCGAGGGTTTAAAAATAGCTAGAGTCGGTGGAGAGAGTCACATGTGGTGTGACTGAAGGCAAGAGAGTTCATCGGCGTGCTGTGATCTTTTCGGCACTGAATAAATCTTCTCATGGTGTCCCCTTTGTTGTCCGAGCAGCTTAGTCGTTTATTGCCTGCGCAATGAGTTTGATAGGATTTCGCCTTTGCTGGCAGAGAAGGTTATTCTGGTGCGACTGATGGCCTCTCTCTGCTGCATATACACACATCCATATGCAGGCTCACGCCTAATACAGACAGTGTGGAGAAACATATGGTTAACAGTCTCTCTCCTCTGCTGTATATCTGTCTATTGGCAGTGTATTTCATCACATGTCTATAAAGCAGTTGCTAAGCAGATGATGGCGTCATTGTGTGTAAGGGAGGTGAACTTACAGAACTTACAGTGCACATCACAAGTGAGTAAATGATAGCATCCGGCCACTGGAGCGCATAAAATCACAGAGAAGCAGAAAAATGGAGCAACTATAGGGGTCCAAGCACTGCTTTGCAGGGATTTCCCAATTTGCAATTATTGTTATAGTGTCCAATGATTTATGACAGTGATAATGAAAAAATATTCATATTTTCTTACTTATCTTTAAGGACTAAATCTACTGACTAATTTAACCATAAGTTTATACATCGTGTTTGGGAAAAACCTAGGAGTAGTCCACAAATGTAAATTATGCAAATTACCTTAAAACTGAAATAGAAAGCCTAATGCCCCAACTCTTGTTTTTCTTAGCAGGGGTGTTGCTAGGCAACTTTTAGTAACAAGTGCTGTCTTTTTTCCTCGCTAGTTAGATGGGATGAGATAAAGAAAATGGTGACAGGCTACAGGGCTGGCAGGTGGACAGGGCTGAAGGAGCCAAACTGATCAGAAACCAATGTATAGTCTGTGTATCACTACCATAGCTAGATCTGTGCCTGTTGTAAGTGGATGAATAGCATTTAACTTACATTAGACCTGTGGTTAAAACAAACTATGAAGAGAGAGCAACTGATCTAAAATATCCATATTCATTATGAGTTTCATGCCTATTGCTTCATTAAAAAATCATAACAAACAGATATTTTGGGGCCTTTTGGGACTATGTCCCCAGACCCCAGCAGTAAAGCCCTTCCGATCCATAAAGCTCTAGTGATGCCTATGTTTCTCAGGGTGAGGACAAGGAATGTGAAATAAAAAAGAATTTAAATCTCTATTCCTTAACATTCTTGGGTTAGAGACTTTGAGTTAAAAAGCCACCTTAAAATTATGCATACTGCTAGTCTGTCTCATACTGTACATATTGTGGCAGCTGCCACTTGCGCTGTATTAAAGAAGGGGCTTTAGAGGCGTGGTATGCAAAACTGAGCCGTGTGATCCGCCCCCTCTCCTTAAAAGAGATGTCTGTTGTTGTT